TGAGCGTGTAAGTACAGGTGCCCACGGAAGCCAGAGGAGGGTGTCTGATCCCTGGAGCCTTAGTTACAAGTGGTTGTGAGCCACCTTACGTGAGTGCTGGGAACCAAACTCAGGTCCTCTGCAAGAGCAGTACTCACTCTTAGCCAGGGTCTCACTGCATAGCCCTGGTTGTCCTGGAACTCACAGAGATCCTCCTGCCTCTGCCTCCTGAGGGCTGGAATTAAAGACTTGCATCACCACATCTGGCTACAAAATGTTTTTAATGAGGAGGTCACCATTATTAGAACCATTAACCTTCCAGAAATCTCTCCTTGAGAAGTAGAAGAGAGAAATCCTTCTCACATCTAAGTCAGCAAGGTTTTTTTTTTTTTTTTTGGGGGGGGGGCTTACAAACAAACTGATCCTCCTGAAGAAATCAGGTAGTACCATAAAAAGGAGGGATAAGTGACCTCCAGAACCTGGCTGCCTGTGAGAGTGGGCTTCAGAATCATGCCGAATATCCCCATCGCCATTAACATCAGCCAACCTTGCCAATGCATGAGATTGCCCACGGAGCCAGGCTTCCAGATGCCAGTTCACTACCTTGTTTACATAGAACTAAGCATCAAGACACAATGCGATTGTCTCCCCATCCCACTCACACTGCTGGAAAGAACAGCGAATGCCCAAGCGGACAGCTCTGGAGACAGAATCTGCCTAGTCTACTTCAAAAATTCCAGCCTTATACTGGAACTGCACCAGAATCCCATGGGTTCCTGGAACTCCAGTCTGGCTGGGAAGCTTCCAGAGAATTCTGGCTACATCTCATGGGGTAGAGCTGTTTCCCAACTGTGCTGTAAGTCTGCAGCAATTCTCAAAGACTTCCAAAGAGAAAGGACAGTGGAAGACGAAGAATTTGGGAGGCAGATTTTATAAGCAATCAAAATATTTGACTCTATTAAAGCAAGAAGTATTTCCTTTTTCTACTTTTCCATAATAATATTGATAATTTATGTGTAGGGGCAGTGGACCGTAGTAATTGGGGTGCATAGACTTTCACCACCAGCCTAAGTTCAAGGTTTGCTTCCCAAAGCTGGTGCCCGCGCAGCCATGGCAAATTCCCCTCTAATCCTGGCTTCTGAATCTCCACAATGGAAATAATAATAGCTCTTTCCTCAAAGACGTTTAAAATGAAATACTCCATGTGAAGTGTTTAACACTCGGTGAATGTTAGCCATCATTACTGTCAAAAGCCGAGTAACCCTGGCAAACACGCAAAAAAAGCAAACGCAACTGTAATCCCCCCATCCATTTCAAAGCATATAATTCCAATTGTTACGGGTGTATTTTCAAAGAGCAAAAGGTTAGTGCTTTCTAATCCATAACTGGCTATTTAAATTCACCCCCCGCGCATCTAAGCATCTCCTGTGTGATTCAGTATTCTGTACAGCGTAGTGTTTAAAGGCCACGGAGCATTCCTCCAGGTGAGTTTACTTCTGACAACCCTGCCCTCTTCCCTGGAGATGTAGATCCCACACTTCCTATATTTCCAACCCCTGTGACTCAGCCAGATGGTGGCTGACTTTCTCCTGGCTATTTGGAGGTATGGCCTCCGCCTCACTATCCAACACGCTCACCCTGAGGTCAGGGACCCTTCCGTGGTCTTCTGGCATCTCCAGCATCTTGCCTTGGAGCCCATGCTGAGGTGCAGACCACTCTGCTTAAACTAGATTCACTCCATGGCGGGTGCAAAAGGGAACATTGCCAGATGGGCAGTTTTTCTCCAAACAGTATAAGGTTGTCTTCCAGGACTTTAGACACACGATTAAAAACTCTCAGGAAGAGGAAGAAATGGAAGATTCTTATCAGGGGGCATTGTTTTTCTAAGCAATGAGGCCACACAAGTTCAACACTTGAGGACGTGCATTTCAGTGAAGGAAGTCCTAAGACTTCGTGATGCTCTGAGACTACTGACAAAGCCTTACTGATCCATACAATGTGGGGCTGTCAAACTGGGCAGAAGTGAGTTGTATCCTGTTTAAAATGAGTGCCCCCCCCATTTTCAATGAATTTAGTTTTTTAAATCTTTTTTTATTTATTCCTTCACAATGCCATACGTATATAAAATGTACTTTGATCATCTCCTCCCTCATTGTTCTCTGATCTCTCTCTCTCTGTGTGTGTGTGTGTGTGTGTGTGTGTGTGTGTGTGTGTGTGTATACGTTCCACTTCACATTATTAGGATTGCTTGTTTTAGCATGGGTAGGGAGTTATTTACTTGAGCAAGGACAACTTACCAATAGTTACAACATTAGGAATACCACCCCACCCCCACCCCCCCCCACCCCTGAAACCATTATCTGTAGCTCCTCGGGGAAGGGTGGGGCCTCATGAGCCCCTCCCCCATCCATGACGGAAGGCTGATGGGCCCAGTTTTGTGCAGGAAGCCTTACTAGTTGCTATGAGTTCATGGATGCATCATCTATCCCACGTTCAGAAAAATAGGTTCTCTTGGCATGCCTTCCCATTCTTCAGTTCTTCCATTCTATCCGCCCTCTCTTCGGCCATGTTCCCTGAGCCTCGCAGGGGAGGATGTAACAGCAGTCACTTCTTCTCAGTACTAAAAGCAGTTATGAGTCTCTGCATTACCACATTCTTTAATTCTTTATTTCTACCCTGACCTGCTTTAAAAGGTTGTCTGCAACATGTGTTATGATCCCATTGCTGTTTGTACGAAAAGAGAATACGTTTTTCAGAAGCTTGTCTTCCTTAGGGGATAGCTCAAGGACCTGAGTTCAGATTCTCAGCACCCACATAAAACATTCCACTTAGCAAAAATGGGGCATGCCTGAGCAGAGACAAGATGATGCTGGGGTTTGCCAACCAACTGGAAAAACAAAACAAAACAATGTGCTCCGGGTTCAGTGAGAGACCCTGTCTCAAGGGACTAAGGCAGAGGATGATTGAGAGGGACGCCCAATACCCTCCCCTGCTACCCACAGATGCATGCACGCAGGCATACACCACACACATATAAACACACCCTCAAGAAATAGACAAAAGGGTGTATTCCTCTCATACAGTGAAGTGTGGCATTCCCCAGCAGTTCCTCCCACACAGCTCAGCTTTGATGAGGTCCTGGCTGCCTCCAGCAACTCTGAGAGGTCCTGGCTGCCTCCAGCAACTCTGAGTCGGTGAGGCAGACAATCAACCTCACTCAATCCCTAAAACACAAACAGAACCACAACAAAAACTACTCTGCATCCATCTGCACAGTCCCACGCAAGACTCAGCAGGCTTTCTGGAAGCACCCAGAGGACCAAGTCCATCATGGAAACACTGATTCAGCCATAATAGGACCCAACATAAAAACCACACACACGGACTAAACAGTCCTTCCACCCAATCAGAACTCAGCTAAAGCCACGGTCTCTTTGCAGTCAGATTAGGTGCACTGTCTGTTTTGTTTTGTTTGTGGTCCTCCTCATTTTAGCCTCTTCCATTATTCTTTCACTTGTTTGCATGGCTGCAGACAGGCAGACCAACAGGAAAAGACAACAGTCAGGCAAATTAAAACTTCTAGCCTGAGGGAGGCTGTAATAGCCGGGTTAGAGCAGTCTGAAAAACAAGCTCCCACTAAACACTGTTAGTGGAGACTGAAGTCTTTACTTTCGGAAGACCAGCTTCTGTATTTTATTTACTAATTGCTGCTTTTCTGTTGGTTGGTTGGTTGTTTTTCATTTATGTGGCAGCAGTGGAGGGGGCATGGTGTGTGCCATGGTCCGTGGGTTGAATATGGAGAACAATGTGAAGGAGTGGGTTTTCTCCTTGCCCTGTCTAGGGTCCCCGACAATCCAAATCACCTTTACCGCCCCCCCCCCCAGCCATCTCACCGGCCCTGATCAGAATTTTTTGGCTAGCATTCTATTTTTCTTTATGAGCTTTGCAGTCTAATCAGATTAACTGTCAATTGTTGGGGGGGATGAACAGTTGGAAAGAAAAGAGACAGAGGATAGACAACTAGATATCCCAGATGGGTGGAGTTCTAACAGGGAATACAATTTCATTAACACATGCACCCACGGGGTCCACTTACTTAATCCTGGCGCATGTCATTACTGTAGCAAATATTAGGGCAGTGTCCCAAAACCTGTGCGTGACACCTTGGCCTGGCTGCCTCGGCCTGACTGGTCATCTCAGAGGAAAAGAGGGGATGGAAGTGAAACCAGCGGCAGGACCACCAAGAGCAGGAGCTAGGAAGACTTGGGGAGGGGGGGGTATCGTAGGCGTGGGGATCCTGAGTTCCAAGGCGCTCTGCCCGACAGGGTCTGGTGCCCAGGTCTGGGTGGACCGCACATGGGTTCCTACAGTGCCCGCCCGGTCCTGCCGGCGGACCTGACTGTTCGTGCAGCTGGACTTTTCTTTCTTTGCAGTCAGGCCCAGGGCAGAGAGAAGTCTGCAGGGCCCAGCCCCTCGCGGGCCCTGGACGCCCCCAGGGTGTCGAGGAGAGGGAGCCCAGGAGATGTCCTCTGCCCCCGCCCCCAAACTCCAGCGAGCCCCGGCGACCCCCACCCTGGAGAGGGGCTCGGGTCAAGCCTCCTCCGGCCGGTCCCTCACTCACGGGCAGCGCGGCTGGGGCTCCGACTCTGGCCGCGGCCATCCACACCGGGAAGAGGAGAGGGGAGGAAGGGGAGGGAGAAGGGGAGGGAGGGCCCGGGCGACTGCCGGGCGGGGGGGGGGGGGGGTGCCGGGAGAGGCACCGCGCGGGCATTCCTCCTGTCCCCGCCCCTCTTCCCCTGCGGGATCCTCCCTTCTTGCTCCGTTCTCCACCCTGGATCCCCCAAAGTTTTTCTGGTACGAGATTGGACATTCGCTTCTCTCCACAAGCCAGCTAGCTGTCCCGGGCAAGTCTGAAGTCTCCAAAAGGAAGAGACCTAGCTTCACCCGCAGAAGCTGGAAAGGGGGTCACCAAATTATTCTGGGGGCCTCTATGAGTGCCTCCTCTTTTTTTTTTTTTTTTTTTTTTTTCAAAGTAGAATCAACTGGTTCCACAGCGAAGGGCGGGTAGTCGTGCTAAGAATCCCTCCTCCCTGGGTGAAATTCACAGATGACCAGGTGAGTGAGTGAAGGGCCATGCTGTGTGCCGGAGGCTGGAATACGGCAGCAGCGCTTCCTGCGTGTCTCCTGGAGAGGGCCGAAAGATGAGAAGGGAGGGTCTCCAACCCAGCGTGGTTTCCCTGTACCTGCCAACAGGTGACTGACTCTCAGCACGCACATCTTGACCTCTTTCTCAAGGGAGACTGAACCAGTCACAGCAAACAAGGGAAGTAGGGCGTCCCTTTTCCTGGAAAGACACACCAAATCCCAGAATGGAGGCTTGAGTTGGATTGGCTAGTGTGTCTGGGAAGAGGACACTCCAGGCCCTAAGGTGGTTTGGAGTATTTAGGAGAGGTGGGAAATGGTGCAATGGAGTGTGAAGCATGACATCATGAAGGTTTGTTTGGTTTTGTCTGTTTGTTTGTTTTTCGAGACAGGGTTTCTCTGTGTAGCTTTGCGCCTTTCCTGGTACTCGCTTTGGAGACCAGGCTGGCCTCGAACTCACAGACATCCGCCTGCCTCTGCCTCCCGAGTGCTGGGATTAAAGGTGTGCACCACCACCCCCAGTGAAATCATGAAGGTTTTTAAGCAGAGCATTTGATTCGAATGGATTCCCATCGTTTTTTGTATTCCCCAGGATGGACACTCAGTGGGGCACCCAGTGAATCCCTGTGGACTCAGAATGTCAGTCGAGAACACTGGTTTAGTGGTCAGCAAGATGGACTGCCCAGGAAGAGAACTTGTGTGTAACATCTCAACCTGAGTGGTGGGCCGCCAGGTGAGAGGAAGCTGGGAATTCTGGTGGAGTAGCTCGCTGAATTCACACAGCAGTGGGATTCCTCTTAAAACACTTTCCCGGTGTAGTCTTTGTGGCTTCGGAAAACCTGGTAAAATGGAAAAGATATTCAAGTAGTCCACCCAGCCACCAGGATCCAGGGAGGGAGCATATCGCCAGAGAGGGAACAGGTGTGTCTCATGCCACACAGTTGGGCACACTGGGGATGTCATTCTCTGGTAAGATTTCTAAGTGTGTTTATACTTAAGAGTATAACACAAATAACAGAAATAAACAGAAGGAGTGCCCCTCAACTCCCCATTTCCCCTCACTACCATTCCAGGAATGGCCAAGATCTGAAGTCTGTTTTGCATGAGAGCCCAGAATATAGGAAGTAAAAGCCTGGTAACTTTGGCAGACAGGAGCTGGTCCGCCTTCTGGTAAGGAGGTGGGGGGAGTGGAGAGCAAGAAGGGCAGAGGAGACAGAGAAGGAAGGGAAGGAGAAAAGGTGGGGTCTGGATAGACGTGGCTCAGTGGTGCTCACCTACAACGCAAAGCCTGGAGTTTGATTGCTAGCACGTGTGTGTGTGTGTGTGTGTGTGTGTGTGTGTGTGTGTGTGTGTGTGTGTGTTCAAGGAGACAAGAAAAGGGCATCAGATCCCCTGGAGACAGAGTTACAAGCAGTTATGAGCTTCTCAGCATGGGCGCTGGGAACCAAACTCTAGTTCTCTGTCAGAGCAACATAGTGTTCTTAACCATGGAACCATAGTGTTCTTAACCATGGAACCATCTCTCTAGTACGGAGCGCCAAATTAGACAAATGATGATAGATAGATAGATAGATAGATAGATAGATAGATAGATAGATGATAGATATTTAGATAAGTTGTTAGTGATAGATAGATATTTAGATAAGTAGATAGTGATTGATAGATAGATAGATAGATAGATAGATAGATAGATAGATAGATAAATATAGGTGATAGGTAGATAAATAGTGATAGATAATAGACAGATGATAGATAGATAGAAATGGCAGATATAGAGAGACAGAGATAGATAGATAGATAGATAGATAGATAGATGATTGATAGATAGATAGATAGATAGATAGATAGATAGATAGATATAGATGAAGATAGATAGATAGATGATAGATTTGAAAAAGGTAAGTGACTGAGTTATACCACCCCTGTGCCTCTGAGCCTTGTGTCTACCACTAGCTTCCAGGGAGGCCAGGCCATCTCAGAAATGCCATAGCTAACTGAAGAAAAGAGGCATACAGAAATCAACACACTTGCAAAAGTCACTACCACTACACAGCTTTCCGAGTACACCTTTTCAATTTTTCCGTCTTTGAGATAAGCAGTATGGCCTTGATTAGTGGGGTATCTCAGCTGGTGAAAGAAATCTCATGGAAACTTTGACCCTTCTGGGGAGCCAACGGGCATGTGATTTTCTACAGACTGCTACAGTTCATTGAGACCTGTTTTATCTTTACTCTAGGGCTGTTCCTCCCGTCCCGTGACTCGGCCATTGCTCTGGAGCTCGTCACTTTTGTAAACACAGATCTCTTTCCTTACTCCAGTACCTATCTCCACAGGAGTCTCTTTGGCAGTTTTCTTTTTGTATTAAAATCTGGCAGTAAACAGCTTAGCCTCTCCTCAGCAAAGCCACCACAGCCATGTCACCAGCTGGGACCTCATTCTATTCCAGCTCCTTTCCCCTGCTGCACAATAAACAGACCCTCAGAGAACATCCTTCTCACTTCTGTTCAGAGCTTTCCTTTTCCCGACAGCCTTTTCATGGACCCCTGAAAACTTCTCAGGAGACCCCTGAATTCAGACAGCAGTGGGATTCTGTTTTAAACACTTCTGATATTGTCTTTGTGGCCTTGGAAAACATAGCACATGGAAAAGATATTGAAGTAGTCTGTCCAACCACCAGGGTTCAAAGAATTCAGGATCCAGTATCACAAGATCTTCAAAAGTTCTGTAGTAGGGCCTGGGGATACCTCAGATACCTTAGAATTCTTCAAATCCAAGTCAGCGAAAGCTACTGGGATCAATATACCTTCAAGAGGAGGGTCAGGTTTAATCTCAAATGGTTTATAAGAACATTATTCCTCTCTCAAACTTTACAACTAATAGTCTCTATTTAGATGACACGAGCCATTCAAGACGGCGATAGCTTTGGGGAAACCGTATTAAAGAAGAAAGCACTTGGTACAGACATTTTACATGCATGAAACATTCTGAGCTGACCCAAGCTACTGCTAAGTGGCCTTTTCTGAGGAAATTCAAATACATTTTGGATGGAGACTTCCTGAGCTAAAAAGCCGACATCTTCACTGAGAATGCCAACCGGAAGCAACCATATCGATCACAACCAGCCAGTGATGGACAGTCTTTTACCATGAACGTGCCCCTCCTGGTATGGCTTGGGCTACACTGACTGGTGGCTACGGTTGGTCCATGGCTCAGTGCCTAAGAAGTATCCAATGAGCATCGATTGCCTGCCTTCTGTGTACATGATACCCTGCGAGTGTTGGAGGCTAAGGGGTGGGTCCTGCTTCAAGTGCCTGCAGGTGCTGAGGTAGATGACATACATTAAAATACAATGGGAAAATTGCCCGTTTAGCCCAACTAAAGAGGTGAGCTAAATAGGAAAGACTATGCACTGATGCACGCCTATAGCACTCAGGAGACTGAGGAAGGAAGAGCATGAATTCAAGGCCTAGCAAGGAGGAAGAAACGGAGGGGGAGAGGTGGGTAGGCTAACAGAGAATATTTTTCAGTATTTGAGCAGGATGTGACTGACATTCTGTTGACTGGATTATGCTGTTTCTATTCTTGGGCCTCCTGGGCCATCCTCCTGTACTCCCTGGTGTTTAGGAAAGCAGTGGGGTGGAGTTCAGGAATAATTGAAGCCCCTCGTAAAACCAACACTAAGGTTCCAACTGGGGAGTTGCCTTTCGAGGCCCCTCCACTGGCAGGCTCCACCATGCTTCCCCTGCTGTCTTTTCCTAGTCTTTTCATGGAAAGTTGTTCGAACACTCTCCAGCCTTTTTCTTCCAAAGATTTGGAAGAACAGGACTATACTCGCCAGCCAGCCTCCTAATTTGGAACTAATTACTAAACTGCTCAGAAATGTAAGGCAGAGGAATTTGCTTGCTGACAGGCTTCCTATTCATCACCACGGTGATATCTGAGAACATGGCTCTCAGCCGAGAACAGGAACTTCCTCTTCAAACGCAGAATAGACAACCCTTGTTGGTGTGGCTTGTAGCTGGGAGTTTTCCTATGTCTCTCCCGGCCCTGAGGTCCCACAGCCGCTTATACAATAATCACTCAGAGGCTTAATTAATTACCAACTGTATGGCCCATGGCAGGCTTCTTGCTAGCTAGCTCCTTCATCTTAAATTAACCCATTTTTATTAATCTATGTATTGGCACATGTTCTGTGGCTTTTCCTGCGTCCCATTACATGTTGCCCCTAGGACAGCAGTTTGGCATCTCCCCTTACTCTCCCTTCTCCTCTCATTATCTCTCTTGGATTTTCCCACCTGGCTCCATCCTGCCCTGCCATAGGTCGATGCAGCTTTATTTATCAACCAATCAGAGCAACATATATTCACAGGATACAGAAAGACATCCCACAGCATTTCTCCTTTTCTGTCCAATCAAAAGGGAAGGTTTTAATTTTAACATAGTAAAATTACATATAATAAAACAATTATCAAGCAATAATTACAGTTATAATATCTAGTCTATTTATATTTGGCAAAATTAGAAAATATTCTACCATCTATCCTATTTTTGTGAGTCTAAAGTTTTATATCTAATTTATCTTTTATCATGACTAAGGAAAGCTATAATTATAACTATCTAGTCTTTAACTACATCAAAGACCCTAGAAGGATATAATATTACCTAAGTAAACAGGAAGTGCATTGTAAGCAACTTCCATAATTCTAGAAATGACAGAGACATCTGGCTGCCTGTACAGTCATCCAAAGTTCCTCTGCAACATTGGGGCATCCATCTTCAGCCTAGAGTCTCTCAGTTGCTTTTCCCTATGTCCTGTAGCATGTCTGGCAGTGTCCTCTGTGAAGCAGGAACCTGAAGGACCATCTCACCTTGTTTTGGCAAAATTCAGTGGTCATTTTTCCTATGGTTCCTGCATGTCTAGTTTATACAACATATTATCAATCAGTCCCGGCAACAGCAGTTTCTTACCCAAATGGCTATTTTTGCCAATAAAGAAAGCAAACTCCATATGGAGTTTCTTCGATGCCCATCATCCTCTTTGAAGTAATTGGTGCTGCCAGGAGCAGACATGTCTCATTGTCGAGAAAAGTCTAAGTTCTTAAAGTATTTTAAATGCCATATTCTGTAGATCTTTGAAGTGTTTGAAGATTACCTACCTAATTGAATATATCTATGTATACCTAGAAAACTTAACTAATGTGACTATAAATTTGATTATCATGTATGACTAATTATTAATTTATTTCTTAATTATACAATTTTAAATGAGTTGCATAAACATAGTACCTTAAACAAGAGCAGAAATATATACATATATATATAGTATAACAAAATTAGCTTTAAATTTTTATCAATAAACTAAAATCCATAGCAATGTAAAACATTTCAAATAAGTTGTTGCTCTTTAAAAGTAGATTCAATAATCTACCCTTTCATCCTATCATATCTATATCCCCTTTTCTTCTTTAGAAAGAGATTGACTATGACCAATAACAATTTGTAACAAAACCCCTAAACAAAGACAAACATCCATAATCTATTTTTTGGGAATGTAGGCATAGTTATCTAGGCTACTTCCTGCTGATTGGGGGCACTGGTAATCTTATGGGGACACACCTAAAATCCAAATTTTAGGATTATGGTCGAGTTCTGATTGGAGTAGTCTGTGAAGCTGTATTCTCTGAGTCAGTTGCATTGAAGCCATTCTGGGTGTTGGATCATCTGGAGACCTCTCAGGGGGGTCTTCCTTGATGAAACCATATTAACCTGGAAGGGATCCACAGCTTCTTATCTTCTGTGGAAAGAAAAGCAGAACCTCTTTTCCAAAGCAACATATCCTTAGACATAAATTTTGAAGTCAAGATACCTTTAAAATATACATATTGGGTTAACTAAGTAGCTTTTACAATCAAATGTCTTTCTGCAGTTAAAAATCCCAAAGACAATATAATCCAGACTCTCTATGTAATTTTCATCTTTACGTGGCTTTTTAAAAAATTACTTTACTGCCCTTTCTAAGGACTTTATTTTATTATTTTAAAACTATATGTATTTTTATGACTGTCTATATCGTCTGACCATTGCTTTAAACTGCAGTGTGGCTAGGACCAAAGCGGCAGCAGCACTGGCTGCTGGCCCTACCCCACTAGGTTTTTAACAAGGTGCAGGTACCAATGAGTCATGCTTATCTCCCCAATTCTGGGAAGCAGTATTAAGTAGTATGCCTGTGTTTTTTAAGCCCAAGGCTGTGCTCCCAAGGAGCTGGGAGAAGCCTCTTTGTATCGAGGCCCAGCCTGTCAGAGACTGTGGGAGTCTGCCATGTTGCCCGTGAAGCCCACTATGGCCAGGGGCTGCATCTCTGTACTGTGGCCCACCATGAGCAACATGAATCAGGAAGCTTCTCTTGGCTCCATTTTAGAACTCTTTTCTAAAGCTTTCTCAGGTTTTTGGGTGAAAATTTGCCCCGGCCAGTGGGGTCTCAACAGGGGCGACCCACCTGCGGGAGAGAATGAAAGGGATGGGAGACACAAAGGAAGACAGCAAGACAGGGTTCTGGTCAAGCTGCAAATTTTATTCTCCTCAGCAAGGCTTATATAGCATGGGAGGGGGAGGGGGCAGGAAGGAGGGAAGGGGTGCAGGACATGCCGGACGTGCAGTTGAGGAGGACATGCAAGTCGTGAGGCTGCAGGATGTTGTGCTAGGTGGTAAGGTCACTGGTCAGGGCCCATTGTTCTGTTGCCATGCTACCTAACCGTGGGATGTTCTTTATCTTTGGGGGCATCTGGTTTAGGGCTTGTGGCTTGTTCTCTGGCCTAGCTAGTACCTTTCCATGGTTCATGTTTGGTCCCTGGCAAAAATTCTTGCTACCATGTTGGGCGCCAAAATGTAGCTGGAAATTTTCCTGTGTCCCACCTGGCCCTGAGGTCCTGCAGCCACTTATAAAATAATCACTCAGAGGCTTAATTAATTACTAACTGTATGGTCCATGGCAGGCTTCTTGCTAGTTAGCTCCTTCATCTTAAATTAACCCATTTTTATTAATCAATGTATTGCCATGTGTCTGTGGCTTTACCTGCGTCCCATTACATGTTGCCCCTTGGACAGCAGTTTGGCATCTCTCCTTACTCTCCCTTCTCCTCTCATTATCTCTCTTAGATTTCTCCACCTTGCTACATCCTGCCCTGCCATAGGTCAATGTAGCTTTATTTATCAAGCAATCAGAGCAACACATATTCATAGCATACAGAAAGACATCCCACAGCAGCAGCTCTTGGATGTTTTCTCAGCATCATCTACCATCGTCTATGGTTCCCTTCTTGTTAATGTTATGGAGAAATTTGAGGACTTTTAAGAACAGGAAGGACTGAGCAGTTAAGAGAACTTGCTGTTCTTGCAGAGGACCCTGGTTCAGTTCCCAGCACTGATATGCTTACAATCATCTATAACTCCAGTTCCAGGGAATTGGCTCTCTTCTGACCTCCATGAGCA